TTTAATCCTTTCCTGGACCAGTTCGTCATTGTGTTCATCGACGACATTCTGGTCTATTCCCGAGATATCGATCAGCACAAGGAGCATTTGAGGATTGTGCTGGAGACTCTTTGTCGCGAGAAGTTGTATGCTAAGTTCTCGAAGTGCGAGTTCTGGCTGAACCGTGTGGCATTTCTTGGCCACATTGTGACAACCCGAGGCATTGAGGTGGATCCCAACAAGATTGAGGCGGTGAGCAAATGGGATACGCCAAGTAGTGCTGCAGATGTTCGTAGTTTTCTGGGGTTAGCAGGATACTACATGAGGTTTATCGAGGGCTTCTCGAAGATAGCCCAGCCACTGACCAACCTTACGAAGAAAGCCGTGAGGTTTGATTGGAGTCCTCAGTACGAGAAGAGTTTCCAGGAGTTGAAGAGGAGACTCACTATCGCGCATGTCCTATCTATACCCGACCCTACTTTGGAGTTCACCATCTATAGTGATGCTTCGAAGATGGGTTTGGGATGTGTCCTTATGCAGCAGGGGAAAGTTGTAGCCTATGCTTCGAGGCAGCTGAAGCCTCACGAGCAGAACTACCCTACTCATGATCTCGAGTTAGCTGCTGTCATTCATGCCTTGAAGATTTGGCGGCACTACCTCTATGGAGGCAAGTGTGAGATCTTTACTGACCACAAGAGCCTAAAGTACATTTTCACGCAGAAGGAGCTGAACATGCGGCAGCGTAGGTGGTTGGAGCTGGTCAAGGATTACGTCTGCACCATTAGCTACCATCCTGGGAAAGTAAATGTGGTAGCCGATGCCCTTAGTCGGAGGAGTTATGGCCAGCTATCTTGCTTATTCACCGAGCAAGATGTTCTTCTTCGGGAGTTCGAGCGACTACAGCTAGAGGCAGTGGAGTCGACTTCAGCAGCCGGGGGTATGTTGACCGTCTTGGTTGTGGGACCGACTCTTCGGGAGAGGATAGTCGCCGAGCAGCCGAATGACCGTTTCCTATGCCGGATGAGAGAGTTGTCGGAAACTGGTAGAATTAGTGGATTTGCAGTAGCATGTGATGTGGCCTTGGTCTTCGAGGGTAGACTTTGTGTCCCGAAGGTGTGGAAACTGCGAAAGGAGATTTTGAGGGAGGCCCATAGTGCCCCGTACACCATCCATCCTGGTAGCACGAAGATGTATCAGGACTTGAGGAAGTCTTTCTGGTGGCGAGGCATGAAGAGGCAGGTAGCGAAATTCGTGGATGGGTGCCTAGTGTGTCAGCAAGTGAAGGCTGAGCACCAGAAACCGAGAGGGTTGCTGCAGCCCCTTGAGGTTCCCCTGTGGAAGTGGGAGTGCATCACCATGGATTTCTTGGTGGGACTGCCGAGGTCGAGGATCGGGCATGATTCAATTTGGGTGATAGTGGATCTCCTTACGAAGTCTTCCCATTTTCTGCCAGTCCGGACGACCATGAAGGCGAGTGATTACGCCGAATTGTTCGTCAAGGACATTGTTAAGCTGCATGGAGTGCCTGTGGAGATTGCTTCTGATCGAGATCCCAAGTTCACATGTCAGTTCTGGAGGACGTTGCACCGAGCCATGGGGACGAGGTTAGAGTTCAGTACAGCCTTTCACCCCGAGACAGATGATCAGTCGGAGCGTACGATCCAGTACTTGGAGGATATCTTGAGGGCTGTGGTCTTGGACCGGAGCCTGCCTTGGGAGTATGCCCTTTCGCTAGTCGAGCTGACCTACAACAACAACTACCACTCTTCGATCAAGATGGTCCCGTACAAGGCTTTATACGGACGTAAGGTCCGGACTCCTTTGTATTGGGATGAGGTTGGAGAGAGGAGGATTACGGGTCTGGATTTTGTCCAGAGTACTGCAGCGACAGTTGAGGAGATTCGGAAGACCATCAGGTCTGCCCAGGAGAGGCAGAAGGTCTATGCCGACCGGAAGAGGCAAGAGCATGTGTATGCAGTTGGAGATCATGTCTTCTTGAAGGTTTTACCCATGAGAGGTGTGATTCGCTTCGGGAAGAAGGGGAAACTTAGACCTCGCTATATCGGGCCGTTTGAGATCCTCGATCGAGTCGGGAACTTAGCGTATCGGCTGGCTTTACCACCAGACTTGTCGGGTGTGCACGACATGTTCCATGTCTCGATGCTACGGAGATATGTGCATAACCCCGATCATGTGGTGGACTTCGGCGAGCTGCAGGTCGAGCGAGACCTTACCTACGAGGAGGTACCGGCAGCCATTTTGGACCGGAAGGTCCACCAGCTGAGGAACCGGGCAGTGAGCTTAGTGAAGGTGTAGTGGAGCCGACACGATGAGTCGGAGGCGACTTGGGAAAAGGAGGCCGAGATTAGGCGGCGATATCCGAACTTTGAGTTTTGAGTTCCGCTTTGTATTTTAATGCTTTCTAGAGTTTATTTTTGAATTCCGAGGACAGATTCTTTGTAAGGTGGATAGACTGTAATACCCCGTTTGTTTATAAATAATTGGGATGATTTATTTTCGCATAATAGTTATTATTATTATTATTTGTTGGAACCCATGAGGATCTCGATATGCACAAATCACGGACAAACATTCAACATAAACCTATGCGCAGCGGATCTAAAGGTTTGATGAAGAAAATTTACTGCTTAAAATTTATGTAGATCTGGCTGGCCCGAACAGTTGACCGCAAATCAAATCTTCTCGGAATCGAACAAACTTGACCAATCCAGAAAGCTGACATCACGGCGAAGTCAACAGCGTTGATCGATCGGAAAACAGACCTTCCACGCGCTCTCACGCGCACGAGTGACTCCCAGCAGCAGCGAACTCCCGGCGGCGCGTGTGGGCGCGTGCGGCGGCGTGCGGCGGCAATCTCGACGGCGTTCTCTTCGTCTCGTCGTCCTGGTCTTCGTGGTATGGTCGCTTGCTGGTTTTGGTCTCCGGTTTGGATGTATGATTGGAATCTCTATATACCTTAA